CTGTTCGATTCAAATATCGCCGAGTAGTTCCAAATGATTTTGGACTCTCAGTTGAAGAAATATTAAAAGCTGAAGACAAAGAATTGAATCGCTGGTGCTCTATTAAGAAAACTTGCCAATACCGCCAAAAGGACGAAGAAAAATATGACGTGCAAGCATTTAAGAAGAAAGCCCAAATTCCTGCCTTGAAGCAAAAGATTTTGACCAGTGTTTATTCAGAACCTATAAAAGAAGATTCAGAAACTGATGACAAGAGTGCCCAGACTTCTACTCAGAAGAAAAAGAGGCGAAAGAAAAAGAAATCTAAAACTGTAAATGTTGAAAGTGAAATGGAACCAAACATTCATAGTAATGATAAAGAGGAACATGTTCAAGACAGTCGTCAAAATATTGAAAGCCTTGTGGAGTCTCCAACTTCTAAAAAGAAGAAGCATAGCACTAATAATAATGAAGAATTTTGCACTGCAATCAATGAAGAAAAAGAGGAGTCAGATTTGACTTGCAATAAATCAATGTCAGATGACAATAATGAAATCACCAATTCCAAACGAAAACGAAAAAGGTCAAAGAAAAACAAGAATGCGGATTCAGAAACTGTTTCTGAAACACATTCTTTTGATGCTCAAACAAGAAATAGTACTAATTCAAATACCAAAAAAACAACTTTCAGTCAAAGTGCCCTAGATAATGACGAAAGCATGGATATTACTTTAGATTCTCCTAAATCAAAACTAAATCTTAGTACCTTAGAACATCCCTCCAAAAGATTCAAAAGTGAACCTGTTGATTATGGCGGTGTTTTTGAAAACCAAACAACTGAACCAGATTCTGTGAATAAAAGTAAAAATACTGAAAACGATGGTAATTCAACGAATGAAACCACTTCCAAAAAACGCAAAAAGAAGAAGAAGAAATCTAAGAATGCTAACAATGTGGAAGGTCAACAAAAAGTTAAAAAACCTTTCTATTCATCTTATAAAAATCAATCAAGGCAAGAAACCGATAAGAGACTTTCACTGGCAGATAGTAGATATGCTGCTTATAACATTAATCCAAAGAAATTTAAAAATAAAATTAAATATTCTAAGCATAACAAATAGTGTCTGTTTTAGCATTATTTTTAATATGTAATTCCAAAATTCTTTTTGTTATTCGTTTCTTATAATGAATGTTTTTCAAAAATAAATAACTATTGCCATTTACTTTCAATTCTTTTTTAACTCTGTGTTTAATTCTTCTCTATTGAAAAGAAAATTTTGCTGCTAGTGTGAAAATGGACTTGAATCAGCATTATGATTACAATTACACCGCACAATTCCAAGTATTGTTGACTTTAAATTACTTGATTGCATTAAGGAGTGAGAATTTGTTGCAAGATCACACAATCATGTAGAAATGTCAATCATCATCAATTGTGTGAAAAATATAAAAAGTACATATGTTCTTTAGCACGTGTGGAATGGTGGAAAAGAACAACCTTTTTTCAATTTTTTTTTAATTCATATAAAAATGGTATATTAATCAAACTTGATATAATAGCAGTTACCATTATTATTTTTAAAAAAATTTTACTTTATTATTCTACATATTATAATGCTACAATCAGAGTTAGATAAAATGAAAAAATTTCTGCAAATAAAAGATCTCAAAAAATTTTCGTGTGCATTGATTAGCTCTTGTAACTACTAATTTCAATCCTTTCGTCTCCACTTCATTTGTGCGAAATTCGTTTGAAAATAACCGATTTTTTTTTCTTTTAAAAAAAGTTTCGTTATTATAGAACTCTATATTGATTCACACCACAGGGATGAATTTGATAAAACAGAAATCCTAAAATGTAGCGTGCAAAAACACTTTAAATAGTTTAAAAAATACCTGAAATTTAAGCAACATAAGAAGTGCATGTAGGAAACATTTATCCACAGAATGTTATCAACGTTTTAATAAAAAACATTGTTGCTAGATTTTATTTAAATTGTGTGAATATGAATCTCAATATGTGATTTTTAAATCACATGAATTTGAATCTCGACATTTAATTTTAACATCGCTTGAAAACGAATTTTGATGTTTAATTTTAAAATCGCGTGAATACGAATTTCTATGTATAATTTTATGTCACTTGAACAGGAATCATAATAGTGGTTTTTAAATCGTTTGAATACGAAACGAGATATTTGATATAAAATCGTGAAAATATTCGAAACACGATGTGTGATCTTAGATCATGTTAATGTAATTTTAATTGCATTGGTAGGGAAAAACTAATTTTTTTTTTTTTACCTTGATAATTTGAAAAAATCAAACTTTCTTTGAAGAGGCTTTTTTTTTTAACAGTAAAGAATTTTCCTTGAACGGCGTCCTTGTATATTATACAGGCACGGTTACAATTTTTTCCCAAGTGTTAACCAAGCTGAACCTAACAAAAAACAGCATCCAGGAAATATTAATGCTTCTACAGTTTTTCCAGAATTCAAGCCTAGATTTTGTTGGGATTAACTCAGAACAAAATACCGCCTACTAAGAAACAAATTAAACGGCTTTCTAATTAAATGTTTTGCTGCATTCTAAGCATTTGTTTTTAAAAAAATTATCGAAATTTTCTAATGTATGCTAATTTTACTCTTGTGCTATAGTAATTTACAAAATTTATACCGAGGAAATTGTTATAAATTTAAATGAATTGAGAAAGTCCTTGTAAGTTTATAGAGGCTTATTTCAGGCAAGTAAGGGGTCAATATAATTTGCCCTATATATTTGTCCTTTTTTTTTATTTTATGTATTCATTTTCTCATACATATTATAAAAACTAATTGTTCTGCTTTTTTTTTTTTAAAATCTAACAATATGATTTAACAATTTTCAGCTAAATTTTGGCTGCTGTCTTTTAAAATGCGGGGCAATTATTTCATCTCAGTTTCGCCTTGCTAGTATTTACATTTTTTTTAAAAAGATCTTTAGATTACTTTTTGAACATAATAGTAGCCCACTAAAAAACTGCTAAAAAATTCTACATTATGATTAAAGATAAGTGTTGTAAAATTATCTGAGGAAGTTACTGTTTTATTAAATTAATAGGTTTGAAGGAAATCTAATTCCATTTAAATTGAAAAAAAAATCATCAAATTTCAGAAACAATCACTTAAATTTGCTTTTCCATTAAAAATTAAGCTGAATTTTTTTTACCAGTTACAGTATTGTTCCTTTTAACCTTTTTTTTCCTCATCAGCATTAGTTTTGTCTTTAAATGAAAGTAATTAACAAGTAAAAACAAAAATAATTTATTTACAGTATTCAGTTATTTACATTTTTAAATCATTTAGTTCCACATTAATAATGTTCGATTTAGTTTGTGAATATCCGTTTTCATTGTCCGGCATGTTCCAAAAAGTCTCATCCAAATATAGTTGCTTCTCTTCCAGGGGATCGAACATTTTCATTCGTAGAAACAAACCTAGAACACAATAATGAATTTTCAAAAAGTACATCTTGAATGAAATTTAAGGGATATATTTTTCTATTAACGATCTATACAACGGTTCAATTTTGATTAATTATAATCAACAGTTTTGTAAAAAGTTACGAATTTTCCTTTAAGTTCCCATTTATTTAGCAGTGCAAAGTGATATTGATACGATGAAACTCAAGTGTATTGCAGTGCATTCAAAAAGTGAATGGTTGGTTGGTGTCGTATCCTCTATTGCAGTGTTTCCCAAACTTATGACTTTTGTGTACCCTTTCTAAATTTTTCGTAACGCTGCGTACCACTAAATGTATTTTTTAAAAAATACTTTTATTGTTATTAACATATTTTAATTGTTAACTCTGTAAAAAATAGCCAATAGAAAAATATGTAATCGTAAATTTTCATGGCTAGCTTTGTTTTTAAATAAAATTTTCATTTGTTGCAAGATATTTTGCATAAGAACGCGTACCCCCGCTAAATTGTTCCCGTACCCCTGGGGGTACGCGTACCACACTTTGGGAAACACTGCTCTATTGAATCATATTTCATGGTGTGCTTGAATAGTTTTTGTTATTTCTATGGCATTAAAAGAATACAAATCCTCTTCTGTGGGGTAGTTTAAGAGGTGAAGGCCTGCAGGGCAGTTAAAAACATGATATGGTGTCAGTTCCACATTAAGACAGTTGCCACAGTTTTGATATTTTCTAGTCTTATCTGTAGAAATTTTCATGTTTTTATGATGTTTTGTTCTTAGTCTGATGAGAGTAGTGGCTGTCTTCCTATCGATGTCAAGATTAGTTATTTGATCGTGGGCTTTGATTTTTAAAGGGGTGAATAGTCTTGACTTTGCAAAAGCATTTGCATCTGCCAACGTGGTTGGGATTGAATTTTGATTTAGATCTCTGGCATTTTTAGCCAAGGAATCAGCTATTTCATTGAACTCTAGGTTCACATGGGCGGGAATCCACTGCAAGAAGCGATTTTTCCGGAGACGCTGAAGTTGTTCTATGATATTCAGGACGAGGCTCAAAAAGTGAATAATCAGTGAAAAAGGAATTGGTGAGGGAACAGCAGTAAAAAAAAAAATTTTTTTTCCCTATATGTTGCTAACAAGGCACTGAATTCAATCAAAGCAACTGTATTAAAATTAGTAATTATATATATATTCCTATTATATTATTCTGCGCATAAGTACACTCCTACAAAACAAGCCATTATTCATTTACATAATAATATTTCTAATTTTACTTTTCTTTAACTTGTACACTTCAAAGTTTTTTACTTCACAATTAAAAATACTAATAAAGGCAATAATATGTTGCTAGAACAAAAGTAAGCTTAATATTTTTCCAAACAGTGCAATAATTTCCTCGCACATTTTTTAAAGGAAAAAAAATCAACATCGTTTTTAAACTCCTCTCTGCTAGAAATTTAACTTAAAAAAATACAATAACAACTGAGTACGATTGATAAATATGTATTGACTTTGTGTTACATGATAGCAACAATATTTTTGTAGCATACTTTAGCTGCTATTTTAATATAATAATTTAAGCTGTTGTATATAAAGTTAAACATGTAAAAAAAAATTTTTTTTTTTTTTGGTTGATTTGAGAATATATGGAATTTAATTCTTTTAATAGTAATAAATTAAAATGAAATTTGAGGTTATATTTGATTTCTTCAGACATAAGTGTTTCTTAACCGATTTTTTTTCCTTGTATATTTATATGGTTCTTAAGATGTTGCCTGGATATTAAGACTGTTTTTAATTAAATCATTATATATCACTTTTTAAAAAATTTTAGTCACATTTTTTCACCACTTTTTCTAAAATGTCCTGTTCAGACCTATGATTCCGTCTGCCACTGAGGATATAAATATCCTCAGTGACAGACGGATCATGAATTTGAATTTTCTTGCTGCCCGGCTAACCATGGGTAGTTTTCTTCTCCATGTAAGGCAAACACGAATTAGTTCAATCAAAAAGCCGTCCACTTAAACTAGTTCGTTCCAGTGCTTGACCCAGGAGTTCTCTTGCCTTTTGGGTTCAAAATTACAAGGCTAAGGTGTTGATCACTGACATTTGTAAACCCAAAAGTGGTTTGGCTTTTTAACACCAGTAATAAAATAAAATCAGTCTAGCCCTTAGACATAGTGCAGCGAGCCCACATACCTTTTGGCTAATTAGGAAACAAATAGTTTGTAGTATTAATTAGCCTAATATAAGTAAGAAAGTTTGCAATAAGTCCTTAGCAAAGAATTTTTTTGCATTTACGCTCTATTTTCTGCACTGAGACTCAAATCTTCAGCATTTTGAAAATTTATATTAAAATTTTGATTTTTCTCAGAAATACTACTTGTGCATGAGCATTTCCTTTCCTTTCTTGCTCACCCAATAACATCCTTTTAGGTCTTTAATTAATACGAAATATAAAATACTTTGTATTAATTCTGTATGGCAGGTAACCCATAGTGGGGAAAGCCTATTGTAAACAGCTTTATAAGAGGTTTATTGCAATAAGCCGGTGACATTTGCGAAGTGCCGAATTTTTGAATTTACCTTCAATATACAAATTTCCCCTTATTTTGGAAATTCCCTAAAAATAGTATTATTTATCACTTTTTGGGAATAGTTCTGAAAATGCATTATTAGCTCGCAGTAATTGTTTCCTTGACTTTTAAGTATTTCATTAGTCTTTTGACCCTTTGCGGGACAGTAAATTTCTGTTGCAAAATTTCGTCAGGCAATATATCAGTAACTGTGGCGGCAAAAAATGTATTCTCATTGAAGAGGCAGACTTTATTGATTTGTTGCTTAAATAACAGAGATAGCTAAAAATTGATGAACGTTTAGTAAGAAGCAAATAGTTTTACATTTTTAGAGGTTTGGTGACATTTTTGGATTAAATGTTGTCAAATTGGCAACAATTAGCTAGAAAGGGTTCAATGTATTGATTATAAGATAAATAAATAATGAACTTACCATTTAGCAATCCAAGTATTATACCTGCAATAATGCATTCGATCATATAATACGCTTGGAAGCAAGCTTGATTTGCTGGGGTCCGCGATTCTCCTGCCTGTATATAAGGATACTGTGCCTGCAAGTCAGCTAGCTCGTTGCTATTGATTGGTGGAGCCATTGCTGGATAAATACGATACAAACTATATGAAAAGAAAAAATAATTAATAAAAGTTATTTTTTGCATGGAATTATCCTATGGTAAGCGAATTTTATAATTGTACACAAAATTTTTCAATACTCTTAAAAAGTTTTCGAATAAATATGGCAAAAAACGCAAGAAGTTACATATATATTGAGAGATCCCGTCGCAAAATGTTGGTGCTTTTTAAAAATCTTTAAGCTGGATTTAGACAGTTGTTATTCTTCTGGTCTGACTGCATGTGATGCGTTGAAGGATAATATATTAAAAAAATTTAATATCGATAATATAGAAAGCGAATAAATTAATTAAAAATACGATTCAACACAAAATTAAGAAAATTGTGATCGCCGCAAGGTGATCACAGACAGGTAACTCATTGTCAAAATGGTTGTTGTCTATTTTTTTTTCTTGGAAAAGAAACTTTATTATTATGTTTTCATCATGGACAACTTTAACTATTAATCCTGAACTGCTCGGTACACATTTTCGCAGACATTTGAATGCAGCTCAGACACATTCTGTGTAAATTCTTTTGATGACTGAATAGACATTGAACAGCCAATCGAGATCAATATTAACATTTTTGATTGGTACAATGGTGTTTGATATGGATTGTAAGCTGCATCATACACCCGTTTCGGAATCACAAGTTCATATGTGAAATATGATTTGAAAGCTAGGCTTTTTTTCAATTTTACATGAATAGTGAACGAATCATTTATATTGCTCGAAAGACAGTCAACGGTCTTGTGCAAGTTATTGGGTACGTTCACAATGGATCCTTTTATTCCTAAATGGTGACCAACACCCAGTTCTTGTATTTGCATGAAAGTGGTTCGTAGAGACACCATTCGCTCTTCGGAAGGGTTCAATTCTCTCAACCACTTTGGTACTTTTGTGAGGGACGGGCTACATGCTTGCGTTTGCGAACGGAATCCTTTCGTTTTTCCGTTTCAGTGTAACGGATACGTTCAGTTTCCTTTTAGTATTCCCGTCTACTTTCTTTGGCTTTTTCAGCCTCGGTAAATTTGGCATCGTTTTTTTTTTTTTTTTTTTTTTTTTTTTTTTTTTTTTTTTTTTTTCTTGCCTCAACTCTAACTTTTGGGACCGTGTCAATCAGTTTGGACCCTTTTTATTTGTGATATTCACCTGAATTAGTATTGAAAATGATCCAGTTTGAACTGTAGGTTAGAATTGGGTATAATATAGCCTACGTCACAGGTTGTGTTGTTCCTACTAAATTTAACCCATGAACGGCATTTTCTGCGAGCCTAACTTCAAGCCACAAATAAACAAACGAAGTGTT